CAAACATGTACGAGATATTAAAGATGTGAGCCAGGGGTCGACATAAAGCATTACAACACTTTTTGAACACTATCTGAGGGATGCCATCCATAGGCTCACTAAGAGAAGCTTTTAGGTTCTTCAGCACAGTGTAAACATCGAAGGGATGGAAATAAGTATCAGGAAAAACACCCGTGGAGCTAGTTGACACCCGTGACTCGTGCTCAGCGCTATTGTTGGAATCAGCAGTCAAAAAGACACTAGCGAAATAGCTACCCAAAGCTTCAGCCTTTGCAACTTCGCTGCAGAGCTTGGTTCCTGATTGATCCTCTAAAGTGAAAGAAGCGCACTTGGATTTTAACTTAACGCCAATGTATGAATGGAGACGCATCAGTGAAGTTTGACGTCCCAGGCGACGCTCCAAATTAGCGACAAATTTCTTTAAATGGCGATCAACATCGGAACACACCTTTTTGTAAAGTGTACTGCTCAATGGGAATTCTAGGTCCCGGAACAGACGCTCTTTCTGAGTCAGCAAATTTGTAATATGAGCAGGATACCTGAGTGGGCGAAGCTCTCGGACTTTCATAGGGACGAATAGTGTAAAAGCATGATATAGGGTTTTGCAAAACCTTTGGTAAACGTAATGGTCGAACAACGTGAGCCAGTCAATGGTAGACAGGTACCCGTCGAGGCCACTGTAATTTACTTTCGAGAAGTCAGGAAGAGGGAGAGAGGAGTAATTATCGAAGCTTCCCAGTACTTTGAAACGAACCACAGAATGATCAGAATTTGCCAGCGGGGCCGAAATGGTGACCTCACTTATGTTCGAGAATGTAGACAGCACTAAATCAAGAATATTTATGCCATGGGTTGGCACAGAAACATGCTGTTTAAGACCGCTGCCCTGGAAGAAGTTCAGGAATAAGGATGACGCTGCGTTATGTGCACTCAGAGCTTTCCAGTCCACCAGAAGATTGAAGTCTCCTAGCATTATGGTGTTAGTATGAGTTGCGACAGTATCACGAAGGAGATCGATGAAGTTCATCGTCTTCATTTCTGCTGCTTGGGAGGACGATACACGAGAACTAAACGGTCAACGGAAAACATGAAGATTGCCTCTGATCAGACAGCAAACTCCACCTCCACGGCGCTCCTTTCGGTCTAAACGATACAGAAAATACGGGAGATTAGTCACTATCTCAGAGTCCAGAACGTTAGGCGTAAGCCATGTCTCCGTGATGAAAAGGAGATCTGGCTCATGTTGACGTATGAAGCATGCAGATGCTCTAATTTGTTAGATAAACTGCGGGCGTTTAGTAGGTAGCAGGTGAGGGTGGATTTTCCGTGCGTCATGAACGGTTTCCCGAACCTCGATGAGGAAGTTCAGACGTGTGCCTGAGTTGACCCTGATAAACTACCCACTCTCGAACACTTTTGCCCTTATTGCGCTCACGCGCCTCCTGGCGCAGCTCGTAGTCCCGTTTCCTTTCTTCGTCCGTCATGCTTCTTCGAATGTAGACATTGGTGAATGCAGAGTTCCGGAGGAGACGAGCATTAGCGAGTGCACGACGCCAGTGGGACCTTGAAGGAAGGACCACCTTCACAAGGCGAGGCCGATCTGGATTAGGTTTACCCATACGATAGGCTTCGCATGGTCTGCACTCCACATCTAGTGCGTCGAGCACCTTGAACACTTTGCCCTCAAGGTCCGATTGACGTTCTGATGGGCGGAGTTCGCCTTGTGCCTCATCAAGCCCTGCAATAACTATGCTTCGCTCGCGTTTGTCACCCTCTAGGAAATCTGAGAATTCCTTGGGGATCTTCTCCGAAAGAGCTATAAGCATGTTTTCAATTGCAGGGTCTTGGTTGAGCTCAATGATGCTCTTTAATAACTCCATAGCCGACATGCTAGCAAAATTTGATGAGTCAGAAAGAGTGGTTTGCGTGCTTCTAACGCTACTGGAACCAGGAGCGAGCTGTGAAGAGCCATCAGAAGCTTTCTTTCGAGCGTTGTACCTTAGGTGGCATCGTATTTGACCTTTGATCTACCCGATGCTGAGTCGATATACTAGGTAATGTGACAGTATTAGCAAAACCAACCAGAAACGCTTTAAATGAAAAGAAATTCACAACTAATCCTAGGAAAAAAAGTAAAATTAAAACTTATATTTGAAGACGGCAAAGGTAGTAGCAAACTGTTAGAATAGGAGAAAAAGAAAAATTTACATAAACTTGAACTCACGAACAGTCGACCGCACCGGATGCACGCAGATTATTGTTGATTCGTGATTTCACCCTTGTAAGTTGGCCATCCCCTCCCGTCTTGCCTTCAAAGTTCTTAGGACTTAGGACGAGTTCCGGTAGGACGCACTTGCAATTAGTCTTATTTAACAATGTCTTTTC